TGCTGAACTTACATGGATAAATAACTCGTGCAAACTATTTGGAGTCGGGCGGTAACTTGCACCACGTAGTGAGCTTTACAGCAGCCTATAAAAAACACAAAGCGCGTCTGTTTGTACGCTGCGAACAATCACAACCCTAGATACATTGCATCGCAGACAGCACGAGCACCACATATTACACAGCACTGACACGGATATATACACAAACACTATAAACGACACTGCGCCAGACACTTCCTACTCGATATTCATTTCTCCCCGCGACGTATATAAGCTTGACATGTGCGGGGGAGCTCTTTGGTCGTTGACTGTTACAGATTTGCAGAAGACACAAAACATGGCACAATTAACAGCCGTATGTAAGAACTGTTTACATTTAAAAAGTATGGAGGCAAAATCTATAACGTTAGTTTGTTGCAAAAAATAACGACGTATTAACGATAAATCTTAAACCGGCCACGAAAAAGTTCAAAGTTTCGTTATTTTCATGCTCGACCAGTGTTATGAGCGGTCCGACTAGCTTGAATCAGACAAACAAATTATTGAGATTTTATCATTATGTATTCAATAATCAATGGAAATTATTCTTGCACAATGCATTTTTTTATATATTCTTGTGAAGGACATCAGCCCAACACTTCACTTCCGTTAGTTGCAGTATGCGTACGGGAGCAGACGCCTTCACTTTTGGGGCGTTTTGATGCAGTTTGTTGTCGTATGTCGTGTCGGTGTCGAGTGGAGCGGCGGGGCTTGGGAGTTTAGGACCAGTGTTATTCGTGATCACTAATGAGGCTCTGATGCATTTTTTAAATATTTTTTATACCGCCATTACCCCGAACTTTGAAAATTCACGAGCCCGTAGCACTGCATTATGCTGAAGCGCGAGCTCCTCCTCTGATGACGTCGTTTTTCTGGTAGCACTCGTGGATACTGCAAGCATTTAAACAGTGTGCACCTTCTCACCTACATCCGCGGCGACGTACTCGACCTGTTGAAACTTGTTGCTTCCGTCATTTTGGTGTACGCAAGGCAGTTATCTTGCTGCTCTGGTTTCGGTTGTAAAAGCAAGGCAAAACGCTCATAGTTTTTGCCCTCAGTACACGTTGGACATCTTCAACACTTTGACAACAAAATCTTGCATATTCTCCATACCTCGCAAAAGCATTTACCCAGTCACCTTGCGAAAATCGCGAAGCACTTAGTCCGCACCGTCCTGACTTCCAGTCTTACCAGTCTTTTACCTGTTTTAGAGCAGTTTGTACCTGCTAGTAGGCATGCCTACTGAAACTGAAACAAGGGGCAGTGTCAGAGAGAAAAGGGACAAAGTTGGGAAAGCTTGCTCACTCTCCCCAATTTCTCAAATCTCAAGTGACTGTACCATAATAAATGCACCGTCTCTTCCCAAAATAAAAAAAAGCACTATGTTCACTACGTAAAAAATGGTCTTAGTTCATGCATCTGTGGGCAAGTAGAAAATCTTGCCCTAATTTATTCACACCGCATGATGAGCGCAACAAGCTCACATGAGATTTACAGGAAAATATCGGTGGCGATTTACGTTTCCCTGAAATTCTGTATAACCGGTCGTTTGCAGGACCAAATCATCTACTCGAGTGGTGTGCGTTGCTGTGCAAACGCAGTCCAACAACACGAAGCATAAAAACGGCAGATTTAGGACAACAATCCGAAGTCCATTGTTCAATTAAAACGACTTAATTTTGTTGAAAACGCCCGCAGCTTTTTACTCACAGTATGCGTTAGGAATCTCCCCCATTTTGAAACAGAACAAAGCAAGATTTACTTTTAAAAGCGCTCACTGTGTCCTCCCAGACCAGCTGGACCAGATCAGCTGATGACGACAGGACTGAACCCGTTGAACCTCAACCCCACAACAAACAATTTGAGCTGCGTGTTAGTGTAGGTTTCTACCTCCAAGCACCGCATCACACACCACGATCGTTTCGGCTCTTTGTCACATCGCCGTGTTGCACCAAACAGAAGGAGATCGCCGAAGTCAACGCAACGCTGTCGTGAACCTTGGCTTGTGGTTGCGCACTCGTGGACCCTGTGACTCCCTCCGATTTCAAAGCACACACGACAATTACGAATGATGCTTTCCGTCTTCCGGGAACATCACAGGGGCACTTCTCCGGTCACGTCTTCGCTATGTGCTCACAAACTGCGAAGCTCTTAACTTCCTCGCGTCCCGTCAAACCAAAACACTGGCGGCGCCATGCGTTGTTGCCAGATTTTCCCCGGCCAAACAAAAGCAACGAAAGCAAACCGGCTCTAGCTTCCAATGCACATCAGCGTTGTGCCGTGACCAGATTTTCTCTGTCAGCTCTAACTTAAAGGGGCACGGATACATCAAAATCATATTTTATTTTATTATCCGAAACGATTGAAAATGATGCCAAGACATTACCCTCAAAATTCAAAACTTGGGAATTCAGTATTTCTGAATTAAAAAAAAAACAATTTCCAAATGCCGAATTTGAAGTTCCCGCGCGATCCGCGCCAGTGTAGTGAGTCAAATTTTGCGGTCTCCTGCGACTCGACTTTCTTTTGGAGCTCCGCTCCACGCTATGAAGCAAAGCGCCGTTGCTACTGCGACCTGAAGCGGGGAGGAGATGAGCAGGCCGGAGAGATAGAAGGGTGCCGGCGCAGGAAAAAACCGGTTTCTTCCCTGACTCGCCGATAATCCTCTGCTCGAGCGCCGCCAAGTTTTTCGAGGGAGGATACAAATCCAGGATGCGACATCACGCCGAAATCTGATTTTTGGTATTTCAAAAAGAAAGGCCATAGTGCGTTCGCGATTGCATTACAAAACATGTTTTACGATTGCCGTTATTAAATGTTATAGAAATGTCGCCTACAAAGCTTCCAAATTTCCTGATTTTTGATATCACCGATCAAAAGAAGCATGGAGGTGAGCGCGGGAGATATAAACAACAAAAATAAAAAGGCGCGCGCGCGCACGAGAAAATTTTTTTTTCGCGATGCGCTTTTTTTTTGCATGTCTATTACTACAACTTGCATCGTTTTAGACAATAAAAAAGAATACGACCTTTGGGGTGTCAGTGCCCCTTTAAAGATGACCTACAGATGCAGCAACACTGGTATAAAGTTTTAATATGGCAGCCATTACGGAGCGCCGTAAATTGTGAGGAGGGTGCATGGCAAACGGCGGCACCTTCCCCCCCCTCCTGGTGTTGCAAGGCCGTTTCGCTTGCAGTTGAAGGGTTAAAGCCAAAACGAAACCAACTGCAATGTCACGTGTTCAGATCGAGGACACGCTTTTTATATCCATTTTAACCGTTTAGAACGAGTAATTAGACCCATAACTTTATTCGTGGTGCGTAAGAAACTATTATCAGAACCCCTAAAATAAATACAAACATGGGCGACATGAGGGAAGCAGCAGTGCCATCGACCATAATCAATGGCAGCGAGGCGAGAAGCTCAGTGAGCGCGAGCTTTGCCCCACGACATGGCATAATTGCTTTTGGTGCATGTCTGTCTCCGAGACATGCTTCTTTCCGCGGCATTTGTCTCCACGGTCATTTCTAGCTGTACCCCTAAGCATTCCGGTGCTTCGATAGCCGGCAATGCTGCGGTCGTCGCTGGGGTGATGCATGTTTTCCAGGTGGACTACACGGTTAGGCTTGTATGACCGAACCAAAACACGTCTTTTACAACCTCGCATGATTTTTGAACGAATTGTCCATTACTCAAAGTGTAAATTTATGGTAATTTGTGGAAACAGTGTGCTTTTCACCCCAACTGCTCACCATATACACGGGACTTGCTAACAGTGTAGGCTGAAAAGGCAGCAGTGGCTCCACAGTAGAATGCCTAAATATTGCTGGGTGGCCCTCACAGAGTGGTGATAACTCTTCCGTCCGCTTACGGAGTCTTCACCTTGTCTTAAATTTTTTATGAGCGCATTACGCTGTTATTGTCATTGAACATTACCACTTGAGAAAAGGCACCGGGCAACCTCAAGAACACGCAGCGTTACAAATTCCATCAAGTATGAGTTTGCTTTCGCCGTCTGTCAGAAGGGAGGAGGCATACTGGTGGCCGCAGTAGGGAAAAGGGGGCACTTGCCCTCCCAAAGGATTTCGCCACTCTTGCAAGGCGAAGCCAGCAAGCAACATTGAGGCACTCTACTCCAGAGCCATCGACAACAATTGCTTTACAGCGGTAACTTTACAGGCGACACCTTGCTGAGATTTCGGAAGGGGGATCGGTGGCGGAGTGGTCTAATGGGTCTCAGTCCGCAGCGTAGAGAGAAGGCTTGCGTTGCAGAATCTTATGGGTTTGTATCCGTTTCAATCTGGACGAGTTTCGTACCGGCACGCGCTCGTGTAATCGCTACTGCGCAATTCACGTTAAAAAACCCAGGTTAGCAGTTGTACTGCCCTGGCTAAATTTCGCATCTTCAGCGAAGAGACAAGTCCCTCGTTACGGCGTACTAGTATCAAGGCTACATAAGTATGCCAGCAAAACAATTTTAAATTTCTACTTCGTCCGTTATCGCCGCCGCTACAAAAAAAAAAAAAAAGAACAAAAAACAGTTTTTGCCACTATTAGCGCGAGTCCAGGGTATTCGGGTTTTCTCGTCTGCCATGCTGCACGAACATGGTTTAACCCCGGCATCGCGCTAGTAACCACACGACGAAACAAGTCTTCCAAGTCGTCTGCTTGACAGACTTGTTTTCATACACATGGGATGGTCCAGGTATTGGTAACCGACGACTTTAGCGGCGTCTCTATTCGGGAGGCGCCAAGCCTACTCCCACACCCCGCAGCTTTCTCTCCGAGAACACCGCTATGGGCGGGTCCGAAAGTCAGCCGCACAAAGGATCGCTTCTCTAAAAAGAAGCAACACGTACCACAATAGGACTGGGTCCAACAGTGTTTATTATAAAAAAAAGAAACTAAAAAAAACCACTGTCCCAAACCCCAGCGCCGAAAAGGTTAAATGAAAGGCTCACCCTGTCTACACCGTTCCGACAGCGTAGTCCAGAGTAGAGCGCTGCACGGGCCGAAATTTCCAGGCCCGGCCCGACGCAGCACGGTAGAGGCCCGGCCCGGGCCCGGCGCGGCCCGGAAGAGACACTGCCCGAGCCTGACAAAATTTTTTTTAAATGTAAGCCTGAGCCTAGCTTGGGCCAGACAGGTTACATACATGAGCCGAAAACACTTTGCAGGTTTTAACCTAAAAACTTTCTAAGCATAAAGCGAGCATATTTGATTTAAATTTATTTTAAACTTTAACCGAGTTTTTTTTTGTTTTTTTTTTCGACTTGATAAATATCCTGACTTCGACAATGTATTTTCGAGAATATGGGCGAAATATGCACATCGTAAGTGATTCTGACAAAAAAAAAAAAGTGAGCAATATTTTTTACTGTATGCATTTCTTGATCTTGAAGAGATATCGAACTTTTCGTTGTTCAATTCGTTTCATAGAGAACTTTCCTCTCCACATGTATTTTTATGAAGAAACAATCGCAATCACGCTTGTGTATCTTCAAAAGGTGGTACAGTATAGACCACTTACAACGTAACCGCTTATAGTGCAGGACCGGGTATAATGCGGCTTTTTTAAACCACCGGTTCACCTCCGATAAAACTCCCAAGTAATTACATACCGCTTAAAATGCAGGCGCGCGAAGGGAAATACCGGTTATAGTGCGGTCTTCGGAACAGCCCGGCGACCGCGCCAACTGACCGACGCAGAAAGCACGCTTCCCTGTGCGACACTAGATAACGACGCGAACCGCAAGCGGCACTCACGGGGCAAGGAGGTTGCTCGAAGAAGCGGGGAGAAGCGAAGAGAGAGGCTTCAGTTGCCATAGCGACAGAGGGACGCACGCACATGTCGTTCACGTGCGTGCGTCCCCCCGCTGCGTTGGTTGGAAACAACCGCAACGACAGACCAATCGCAGGTCGAGGAGAAGTGTTCGCACGCATTGCATGCCGGTCGCAGGCCGGCCGGCCGGCTGCTTCTATCCGCAAACATGGCGTCGGTTTTGATCGTCGACGTAGAAGGCGTGGTAGAAGCACATCGTTCCGCGTAAAAGCGCTATCCTTGACTGTGAATTTACGTTGTGTGTCGCTATGATAACCCAGCACGTACTAGAAGGGAAGATCCACCTACTCATGCGGCGATGTTGTGGCGGCACTCTCATGACGGCAGAAACGTCCGTGTTTGTTTACTTCGACTACAGTGGTGCTTTCTAAGCATTTGTGTTTTCGAACATCGCCCGGATTTCTTATTTGGAGCATTTCATGCCTGTGCTCAAGTTGAAGGTATTATTGGCGCGTACCGTATAAAGGATGCGAATTTTCACGCGTTTTCATCGCCAGAGAAAAGTGGTTAGGGTTAGCAATCCTGAACGCTCGCAACGTCCATTCGCAACCCACGACGCCATTAAAAGGCTGCGCCAGGCAAAAGTCGTTCATTTCTTTCAAAATGTGTGACACACTTGAGAGAGAAGTGTACTAGTCTGGTGAAATAAAGACTTTCCTCAAACTAAGCTTTATTTTTCATCTAACATAAAATAAATTCTTTTACAAAGGTAATTTGTCTGATGGCATGTATTTTGGCCTGAAAAATTAATGTTTTGGTTATAGCGCGGTACCGCTTATAGTGCGGATTTTCGCGACTCCCGCGACATACGTTATATGCGGTCTACACTCTATAGGCATAGAATTCTTTAGGGTAGTTAGCTTATCTTAGGTGGCATGCCCCCTCCACAAATTCCAAAATCACTCTTTTTTTTTTATTTTTTTATTTTGAAAGTCAGTGGAAAACACATTCATGTGTACCCTGCGACTGAAGTGCCCTCGTTTTCTTGACTGGACAGGCCCACTACCCTGTATGAATCATATACGTTTCCTTCTATCCACACAAAAAGCTTTCCAAGTGCAAGACGTCTTTTATTTTTCTAACAATGTCGTAGTGAATTTGCATTTTGCTTATTTGTTTTCATTGAACCTAAAAGATCAATGAGCACTTTTTTTATTAACAAAATAGAATTTGCGGCACATAACTGACCCAGTCACGGTCCGGGCCGGCTCGGCCCGGGTCGGCCCAAAAATTTTTTTGTTCAATCCCGAGCCCGGCCTGGGCTCTGGCATTCGGGCTGGCCCGGGCCCGTGCAGAGCTTTTGTCCATCGCGAGCCAAGGAAGTCCTTCTCCAGACATCTGATCTCCATCGCTTCCGAAAGAGGCGACTGCGTTCCCGAAGTCGGGAACACGCATCGACCTCCTCCTCCCGCGGGTGTTATCCTCACCCTAAATAACTAGGTTCCTGGATGAGCGGGGGGATGGAAAATGGTCCCCCCTGCAGAAAGTGAAGAAGAGAGCCCCCCAAGCCAGGCGGCACTCCTACGCTTCACAAACAGGTTGGAGCTCACGGCAGCCGAGTTGAGCGTTCCGAACCACGGCCGTTATACCGGGCATCGGGGAAGGGCCACCAATGGTCCCCACATCGCCCCCTCCTTAAAATATTTGGTCGGCCTACCGGACATACAAAAAAAAATCCACCGACACTCATAAAAAAAAAAAAAAAAAAAAAAAAGGAACAGCAGGCTTACGTGAGCCCGAAGGGGCTCGAAGTCGTCGTCCCTGCCCAGCGGTCTACAGGCCACAGCAGATCAAGGTCAATAGTCCATGTCCATGTCGATCAGGTCCCGGAGTCTATTGGGTCCGACCGGGTCTTCGGTGGGCAACGTTGGCGGTCTCGGTGGCAAGTTGCCGGGGCCGAAGCAGCCACCCCTTGAAGTCCGACTGCTGCAAGGGCGGCGGCAGCAAACACAGGGCCTGGGCCAGCAGAGTGCCGAAGCACCGGATGGCGTCTCGATGTTCCGCCGAGTCGTCCACGCGCCGGGGCCTGCTGACGTCACCGTTCTTGCCATTGGCCCGGCTCCGGTGGAACAGAGACCGGTCGTGCCCATCGCCGTGGAGCCGCAGTCCGCCACAGATGCAGCAAAAGACATCCCTGGCCGAGATAAGGCAAGGTTGGGCAGAAATACTCAAAAATGTATTTGGAAATACAAATACAAGGATACATGAGAATAGTAGCTAAAATACTGATACCAAAATATATCTGTAAAATCGTATTGCGATACATGTCAGAAATACACATAAAAATATGCAAAAAGAGGCCGCATCTCCACGTGGTGAATGATGTTGATTGGGGCGAAGCTCTGGTGGTGCTGATGATACTGGTTTTATTTTACGCATCTCGACCGCTTAAGTCAGCGGTCCATGTCAGAATAATAATAATAATTGGGGTTGTGGAGATATTTATACAGCGTGTAGTTGGTCAGCCATTTAAAGTTACGACGAGTCACACGCTGTAGATGAGCAATTTAGCCAGTGCAGTACGACCGCTAGCCTGGGGTCTTTAATGTGCACCATGCAGTAGTGATACACGACCGCACGCCAGTACGATGCTCATCCAGATCGAAATGGGCAGGGGTGGGGCTCGATCCCAGGATCCCTGGGTTCTGCAGCGCGAGCTTTCGCCATGTCAGAAAGAGAATGTGTAATATGGATCGTGGTTATATACGCAGTTGAGCATTTGACTGCAGCGCCCTCTCGTCTATAAACGTTGAGCCAATGCATGCAAAGTTTAACGCGATTATACACACATTTGACCGCAGCGCCCTCTCCTCTATAGACGTTGAGCGGCTACATGCAACGTTGGAGTGTAGCGTAGTGGTTCAATAAAGGAAAAAAAAAAAAAGAGTGTAGCGTAGTGGTTAAGATGTCTGCCTCGTAAACAAGCAATCCCGAGTTTTTTTTTTTTTTTTTGTTTTTTCTAAGTGGGTTGATTTTGGAGGCAGTGCAATCGATGTGAGCACGGACGCCAAACAGATGGACAAGGCTAAACCCTAAGGAGCGTCGCCCCTAAAACTTTTTAGAAATACAAATACTGAAATACTGGTCCTGCAATACATTTTTCAAATTTGTTTGAGACGCCAACTGAGATGAAGTTTGAAGCGGAAGTTTTTGATCCCGAAATTACTTGCCCGGAAACTTTGCACTTCGCCTTGAAGGTAGTGATTCCAGACGAAGAGGAGTCTTCAGTGGGCTCAAGAAACGTTCCATCAAGGATTGACCGCGGTCCCTTCCCTGACATTATGTCTGTCGGACGAGTTATGCGAAAAGACTTCAACCTCTAAATAAATTCCATGTTACCTTAAATACCATCAAAACGTCACCACGCTCCTATCCAATAAGGCTGCTCCTGTCAACAGTGATCGCATGACGTCACGGTGGAATGAGCTGATATTCTTATATCTGTAGGTGGGGTCTTCAACATGAAACTTTGCCCACGCTGCTGCATGAAAGGACGATACACACTTTCCTTGTAGGTTACCTCGTTGAAGATCATGCAGGCAGTTGCACTTGGAATTTTCGAGAATAGTGGACCACCTGAAGCATCCTGGAACAAAAGTCTTATCTTCTGTTAGGGTTGAAAAAACGACACGGTGGCATCGCTGTTGTGGCAATCCTTTCTGCCGACCTGCCAACACATGGATAGTGTGAGGGCCCAGGAAGAAGGAACAAGTTTAAAGTTAAATATAACTGTTTTTTTTACGAAAAAGGAAGGTCTGTCTGAGTCAGTAGGATGGGCAAAAGCAACTAGGAACATTGGCTTGGAGGATACTGAGGCGAAGAGGCGATGTCAGCCAGCAGAGGCGAGGGCGAGAGCGGAGCTAGTTTGTGAGGTGAGGGGTAAGGTTACAGCTGCGGCGAAGAAGTCGGCTGCCGGGGCTGTCGAGCAAAGTTGACTTGGCTGGTGTTTACATTTGGGCAACGGGTAGAACTGAGGACGAGGAGAAGAGATGGTCGGTTTGAGCGGCGAAGGCTCGTTGGCTGTAGAGGACTCGGGTCGCGGGGAGCAATTTGGAAGGAAAGAACGGAGCGGGGGCGGCAGAGGGGATGGAAGAAAAACAGATAGCTATGGTCAAAGGGGAACTCCACCGATTTTTGATAGACTTCGATTTGACTGGAAATTTGCAGACCGCATCAATAACCCTTTCTTAAAGGAGCTGTGCAACAATTTCAGGGCTCTGCTTAAATTATTATAGAAGTTGATGCCTGACA